CAAAAGGGAGTTGATTGCGAAAGGAACTTCCTTAGGGCACTCCTAGAGCTATATCAGGACATGCCATTGACCGTGCCAAGCAAGGAGTCGAATGATATGGAAAGCTATCGCAAGTTGGAAGAGGTGAGAAGATACTCCAACAAAGAATTGAGAGTGAGCAGAGACTTGATTGAAGCGGCCAGAGGACAAAAGGAGTTTGCAACACTAGGGAAACTGAAGTCGTTCCAATACGTGTCTGGCATACCGGGGATGGCGTATAATCCCTTCGTGAACGAGGAAGCCAGGGAAGCATACTTCGACTATGAGCAAGTCACCGTGCTCAACTTCTGGGTTGAACGGATTAAGGAAATTGGAATGTTGATGGTGGAACAACCCAAGCTTGGAATTATTTTGGAAGAACGAGTAATCGAACCCTCGATTCCCGAGCTAAAAGGGCAAGTGAGTTTTGATTGTGGTTCTTGGGACGGTCCTTTGAAAACCAGTCTAGTAGTGATGTGGGAACTCATGAAACCTTCCTGGTGTCCCCATCCTAACGCAGGCTTAATCTGGGACATGACCGCGGATATCATGTTAGACCGGGATGATGATGCCAGTCTACATGATCTGGCCATGATACAACACCTGCTGGCCATGAGATTGACGAAGAAGAAGAGCAACCCGTCCACGGAGCTGTCCGAGGAAGGCACATCGAGTAATTGGTTGAAGCAAGGCACATGCTTGGCTCAACACAGTGGGATGGAAGGACATGTTTGTAACATGGGACACTGCCTGATTACGCTGAGCGAGCAGCATCCACAACTGGCACGATTGTACGGAAGATTGAGCATGTTCAGATAAGAGTGCCATGGAGTTGGTCGCAGACTGCCATGGGGTGACGGACGTAAACCTGATCACAGCCTTGGGATTTTGCAGCATGACGAGTTCGATAGAATCGCTCGAGCGCTTGGAGCGTGCCCATGAGCTAGTGACGTCCCTCAGCGTGGAAATATTCCCTGGAGCATTACAGACAGAGCAAAAGATTGGAGGCTGGCGAGAAGCCCTAGAGAATGAAATGAATCTGAAGGATAGTGAAGCCTATCACAGACCTACTGGTTCAAAATATATGGTGGGTTCAAGCTCAGCGCCGTATTGTAATAGCAAGTATCCTACGCACATGGTGGTGATGGATGCGAGGACGCAACAAGTGTTGGTTGACCAACTTTTCTCTGTGCCAAAGTGCGTGAGGTTGGCCAGAATGTCAGAGAGGTCATATGACTTGTCGGCAAAGATCTTTCGGGCAGTCCCGAAGAGATCCGAAGGCGAGTTGCAAGACGTTGTGGATGAAGAGTTCATGAGACTGAACGAAGGCAACGTGAGTGAGTTCCAGAAACAGAAAGCGAGTGGAGCGTTACCCACTGAATTCCCCACCATAGAAGAGAAAGACGATTTACATAGAATCCTGATGGAAGTGGAACCGTTGCTGGGAGCCTCAGGGTATCGGACCCGAAGGAACATAGTGAGAACCCATGGGGAGTATCCTTGCCACTGCTTGGCGCAGACGTTGTGGTATCCCAAACGCGGGAATCTGATCCTAGTATGGGACGTGGAGGAGTTGTACTCCACGGGGTTGCCCGATCAGAATCAACCAGTGTCAATCGTGGTGGTTAGCGCCATGCTAGCAGTGAAATGGTTGGAGGCTAATGCAGACACAAGTGAGCAGGAGACGGCCGTGCCGACTCCTGAACAGCTGAGCAACGTGAAAATGAGTAGTGAATTGGATCTTTTCAGAACCACCTGCAAGGTTCTGAGAATACCTAAAGCCATTGAAAGAATATGGTCAAGGCAAAGATTGATGCCTTGGTTCCGTGCAGTGATGACATCTTGGATGTATGAACGCGCGAAGCGTCACATGTCAAGGAACACGGAAGCCTATCAATCTTTCCAGCTAGACATAGGACCAGGAGCCTATAAGAGAGCTTTCCTGACGCATAGAAACGCGGTCACCACGGCGGTGAAGCGAGTAGCTGGAGCGCCTTGTGTGACTGAAGATGAGAAGAAAGAGGTCTTAAGAGCTGACCTAGAACGAAACGTGAGCCTATGTCTTCACAACAGCTTTTGCAGGAACCGGGAGCAGAAGGTGAATGTGGACTTGCTACCTTGTTGCAAACCGAGGCTGTTGGAACAGGAGGGTTGGGGCACGGCCCGCAACTCTCTGGACATGTTAGAGAAAGTTCTGGAAGACAGTGACGCTGAACATCAGGATGGAGAAATGATGGAATGAAGATGACCGAAGAAGAGAAGAGAAGGAGAAAAAACTTGATTGTCTTTGTGTGTAAAAACTTGAACAAATCAACCAAGTTTTGATTATTGAACTTGTGAAACTTTTTGTTTTGATCTAGTTTGGTCAGACCAAACTTTGAAAATGTTGCAATTGTTAAAATTGTTGAAATTGTTGATTTTAGTTATGACTATCTATGTATGTATATAAGGAACATAGGTGAGTATATTTACCTATTTATTCACGACTGAAGTTTTTAACCTGTGTAAGACACAACTTCACTGTGTGGCGACATGGTAAGTTTGAGTAAATTCGCTCGAGAAGGGTGGGTAACTCAATAACTTTCCTAGCCACAGAGTTTCTTAGTTTTAATATTGAAAGGACCGCATAAATGACTGATTATACTTGGTGAGTGAAGTTAAGTTAATTTTAACGGGTGCGTGGCCGTGCCACGTCCCACTTTTTAATCACAAAGAGCGAAAAGAAGTTTTATAACAAGACGACGTAAGTAGTCAGAAAAGAAATTTTATCTAGGACACTCCTCATGGTGCAAATTTTGTGAAAATGTTGAAAGGCAGTGAGATGTAGTACGATGCCATTTGTGAACACGTAGTGAGTTGAAGTGGAGTAGATAAATTTCATTTTCTTATGCGATTTGTAAGATTGGTTACAGAAAACTGGATACCTACTTGACGATAACCCGGTGTTGTGCGATCAATAGGGACATTGATGGAGACTTGTCCGGGGAGTATGTGCCATTCTGCCAGATGACACAGCATAACCTTCCCGCGACAGAAAAAAAAGTGACTAAAGGCCTTATGAACAAAAAAGTGTTGCGACGGAGGGTCAGAATGTTCTAGAATTTTTATTTTTAAAATTTCGATTGGAAGAAGAACATTTCTGAGAAATAGAAAAAAGACGGCCATTTTGAATAAAAAAGACGAAAATCAGAACGACGATATAGATTGTGAAGAACAGTTGTATCAGAGAAAGAAAATTACGAAGCCTCTTATCGTGGCAAGAACACACGATAAGGACCTTAGCGACAGATATTTGTGGAGACGGAGGCTTCAGTGGGGGGAAGAGAAATACCACGGAACCCTCCCGGGACACGAAATATAGGAGATAAGAGTGTTATCTCAAGAAAATCACGGGAGCGGAGGCTTGGTCCCCCAGAGACTGTTATATGTGAAGGGACTGGGTAAACTGACTATAACAGCTGCTGTAATGTCCTAGATCTTAATTAACACCGTTATTATTTAATATTTCAGAGCATGAGTAGATAGAAAAAGGAAAGGGTCAATCCATCTCCAATGGATTTAATATAAAACTGTCACACAAAAACATATAGAAATAGGTGTTTCGAGCCGTGTTTTTAATGACAATCACGTAGTCTGAGGATCCGAGACTCAGCTATGTGGTTGTGTTCGCATGCAAACGAAAGCTGATCAAAAGTCGTTTGACTGATGGCCTAAAAATGGTAACTTTTTACTTTGCCCTAAACAGACCAGAAAATCAACTGGCAAGGTCGAGACGGTGAAAAACGAGTAGAATTAAGGTAACTGACGCCTGCCAGTCGTTGATAGGTACTTTTTCTACGCTCAGTCGCTGTGTGATATTTGGGCGAATGTTACACAAAAAATGCCAAACGTAATTTCCAATTGTGTATGATGTCTCTTGTGAACTGTAAATTTGGATGTAGAACGTTTGCTGCCCGTAGCACCTTCTCAGGATCACCATTCTCTATTCTCACTAAATATTCAATGTAACGGAGAAAAATTTAGCTTGCTGCCCTGACTTATTTTTCTCCCTTAACCCAACGCTTTTTCTACAGTACCAGACGATATCTCGATACTCATCATCTGATTTATCACCGCATTTAACCTGGTACCAGTTCAAACAGATTCACGTTCCACACCTTTTGACCTGTACGAGACCTTCTAACCTGGTAAAATACAAAAAGATTATAATAGAAAAAAGATTTTCCCACTAAAAAGGAAAAAAATGTTAAATTTAAGTCTCCAATTTACGTGTTTAATTCTCAAGTAGGGAAGACTAATTGAGAATTGGCTCAACGCCGTAAGATTATAAAATTTTATTTCTAAATAATTTGAGAATGCGTTAAACTTGTAGAGTTGCCTTTGCGATAATATAAAACAACAGACCAAATTTGGAAAAAAAAGTGCCGTAACTTGGTTAATATCTGACTAAGTCCCGTAGTTTAATTGAAAGCTGAAGGCAATTTTGGTTGTAGCCCGGAAGTGAGAGAAATTATTTTGACTTTGATTAAAGTTAGAATGGCGCCTATAGGGCTGCATTCGAAAGCTATAAGGACTAGTATTGTTGCTCGAATAAGAGTGAAGATAATGCTGAAAAGTGCTTAGTAGGCAGGTTGGGATTGTGATGCATGATCAGTAGATATTTTTAACTCTGGGAAGGTTATTAACAGGTTATACGTAGACAAAGGAGTTTTAAAAAGGAAAGTACGAAGACAATTACGTGATAAAGGTACGCCGTGATTCTCATTGAAATGGATATTGTCCCAAAACTTATATTCTTTTAAAGCCATATCAATGAGTTCAATTTGAGCGCCTCAAAACCTGCTCGGCATCCGAATTTTTGGTTAATTGCATTATTAAATTCATCAATAATCAAGTTATTATCAAGGTTATCTAACTTTTCCTTTTATAATAGAGTCTGCTGGGCCTAGAAAGTATTGTTTGATGACGAAATCGTTTTGTATTACAGATTGGTTATGTTAGTTTTGAATGATTAATACAATCCACGTAGATCACTGCGAGTTCTGTGTCTCAATTGGGTCGTGTGAATTATTGGGATCCTCTAATGAGATATGTCCAATTGTAAAGTGTAAGTTGATCTCCAACTAGCTAATAAGGTTAACTAGTATAAAGAGAAAATGTTGAACAACAAGGTCACCAAAACGGAAAAACCGGCGCTTTAATTAGGAAACAATGTATATCTCCTGTTTGCTGTACGTAAATTAGATAAAAAGGCCCTTAAGTTTTTTGTACGGTCCGTGTACAGCATTATAAAAATACTTCCCTAGTTATGCTGCAATCATTAAATGAGGACAAATTTTGGCACTATTGCGTTTACAGTTGCTCATATTCGTTATTATGTAGTTTAGTTTTTTTTCCAATTTTTTTTGCTAGTCGATCCATTGCCCGTATAGGGTGCTGCGCCACAAGTGCATCCAAAAATCAGTGGCCAGAAGCTACTCTGCCCAACATTTTAATTTTTCATTGTTTTTTGATTCTTCTATAAGTCTTAAGATAATCTAAACGATGTCGAAAAGCGTGGCTGAATCTTTAATTCCGTTTGCTTTTAAGCCGAGTCTGGCCTTGCACCAGCGGTAGTTGAATTGATGAGGAAGCTCTTGCCTTGCAACGTCTGAATATTTGGCTCGATTGACGTCATGGCGTTTCTAATACATTAGATTTCTGTGAGTGTATCTGCCCTTTGTGCTGTACAGGGCATGTAAAAAGTTTTAGTTTGCACAGTATGTGCATGTAAAGGGAGTTGTATCTGCTAAGGGGTAATACATTAACCTAATTGGTTGCCCCTTTTTGAAACGCTAGTTCGCGAGAGTATCATAGGCAGGGATGTAAAAAATTATATTGTATTTAAATAATTTATTTTCCAGTTCAAAAAATAAAATATAGTTTTTTTTCGTAACAATTATTGTTTGAATTGCAAAGCAGGTTTCCAACATAACTCGGCCAATAATTGAAGCTTGGCTTGGCTTGGCTTGGCTAATTGACAATTCTGATTGGCCACGATCGTTTTGAATAGACTGTAATAGACTATTATTACACGCGAATGAACCTGATGAACTCATTTCTGATTGGCCACGATCGTTTTGAATAGACTGTAATAGACTATTATTACACGCGAATGAACTTGAACTCATTTCTGATAGGCCACGATTGTTTTGGCCAAACTAGAGTCTACTACACGCATATAAAGTTGTTTTAAACTTGTGAAAACCTCGTCCCAACATTTTGAAGTTATAGTCATACATAAATTCTGTTCTATCGATAAAAAAAAGCTGAAATTTGGTGAAGTTACGTTTTGAAAAGCACTGATCACGAATTTCATACTCAATATAGCACTTATATTTTATCAATGAAACAGAATTGACTGAGACGATAACTTCAAGAACATCTCGTTTCGGCTTTTTTGCACTTCGTTTTCTCGATAATTATGGCCCCTCACAAGAAACGCGACGTGGCTTTGCATTATTTCAAACCTCTTACTGGACCTGATTCGTTATGGGAATGCAAGAAATGTGGGTTCAAACGGAAGCAGACCAAGAACAACGGCTGTATTGAATACTATCGAGGGCGTTTCTTTATCACCAGAGCAAAACAAAGCGTTGGAGAAAGTGATGAATAGCATTTTGGTGGATGGAATTGCGAGTGAAAATGAAGAAAACTGCAGCGACTATGCTGAAAGTATAATAAAAGCCAAAAAAAGCAAAAAAAAATGTGAACCTGGATTGGATTCCAGCTACTTCAAACCTGCCGGAGCGGTTGTTCAGCAGAGCTGGTCTGGTCCTCTGAGATTATCGAAAAAGAATTCTCCCTATCAACTTTGAAGGACAAATATTTTTGTTCATTAATAAAACACTTTGGAACGCTTTCACTGTTAATGAAATCATCAATTCATGATTGTTCAGAATTTTTTCTCCCCGTCAGGAAACATTTCAAGGCTGTTCAAAAATTAATGGTGAAAAAAATTGCTCTGGTGAACATTAATGGATTTTTTAATGTTCAATTAACGATCTTGAAAAAATATGTAGTCAGCCCCATGAGAAAAAGGAGTAAGTGCCTTCCGCATTTTAATTGCTGCTTATTATGTATGCAAGCAATTGGAAAATTTCAACGGCAAGTAGATAGACTGCTTCGAGGGCTATTGCGTTAAATACAAATTGGGCAAGCCATGAAACATTTAAATATATTTTTATATTTATTTTTCTCCTCAAAAAAATAAATATTTTTATTTTTTTGAAAAAATATATTTAATATATTTTTTTTACATCCCTGATCATAGGGGTAAAGAAAGGGAAAAAAAGAAAATATAAAAGGAAGGAACTTTTTCAATATGTATGAAGTTGATTTTTTAAAGGGAAAAACTTAATTGCTGGACTTCGTTTGTCTCCTTTCTTTCAGACAGCTCAGTTGCCACATCGGAGTAATTCTTGCGCTGCCAGCAATTTTGATTTACTCCTGTAATTGTAAAATTCAGAGCCTTGTCGTTTTATATTTTCTTCTTTTTTTTCGCTTAAAAGCTATATTCGGCCTGAAAGTTTTAAGCTTATGTGTTATTGGTTTAAATACGTTGTTTTGTGTCGCTTCAAGGGCAAATTTTTTTTTGAAAATTATTCTAGGCATTTGGTGTTGCAAGATTTTAAATTGTAAAACAATTAGATAAAACTTTTTTATGGTTACGTTTTTTTATGGCGTTTCTTGTTTCGCCCCAAAGGGCGTGCAGCTACTGGTTCTCAGCTTGGTGGCCGCTCGGTGAATACTAAAAAATACTGGTGGGTGTTTTTCAACTTTTTTTTTTTAAATTCTTTTTCCCTATTGTTCGATTTTGTTATCTGTCTCATTTTCTCTTCACTAGCTTGCAATGTTGCGCTTGCGATGTATCGAAAATGATGCCAAGCTTGAGAATGTTTGCCCCCTCACGTGCCTTCAAGGTTGATCTATTAAAGTTGAATGGGATTCATAAAAAACATAAATGCGAAAAAAATGCGAATCAAAGAAGACATACACTTAGATCAATACCACAAAACAAGAGTTCTTCAAGTATTCAAAACTTGCTTTCACATGCAGAGAAACGAAAAAAACTGAATTAATTAAACTTCCATTAAAGATTTTTAGAACATGTCAGTAAAACGTTTTTAGCAAACTCCAGGACTTGACATTCTAATTCTTTTAGTTTATTATCATTTTAGTGTCCTTGCGATTAGCTAGTGTATTGAAATCGGGTACTAGATTAAAAACTTTGTTCATAGGACTCATCTCCTGGAATGAAGCTTCGCACGAGTCATCTCTGTTAAAACTTAACTGCTATAGACCAATTTCGAGCATATTAGAATTTTAAATACCGTGCTATCCGGATTTTTAGGTTTAGTAATTTTACCAACTGGGTCTGTCTAAGTTTTTTTTGCTTTTCTTTCGACTGAAAAAATTTTGGCCTGTACTATATCGGACTGGTGGCCTCATAATTCGCCGTTTGATGAGCGAAAAAAATTCATGAGCGTTTGTGTTTAAGTGAGAGGGGAACCAAAATTTTTTATTGTGGTTTTTAAGTTTTTGACTCTTTTTCTGGTGCAAGGGTTTCTGCTGAAGTTTTTTTGGCTGTGTAACCTCTTGGTAAATTTCATATTATTTAATTTGAACTAGTTTTGTTGTCATTTCCAAAATTTAGGCCGAATATGACTTGATGATGATGATGTTGATGAATATGTTATGTTGATGATTTTAAAGCAGTACTATATATTTAATTTTTTGCCAGCCGGCAATTTCATTTCATTGCAACGATTTGGGTCAAGGAATGCTGTTTATAGCGCACGAAGTGAAAGTAGGGCAATCAATATTGAATTTGAAATAGGAAATATATTTTTTCAGGCCTTAATCCAGAATGCAGTCTGTTGATGCACGAGTGCAAGCTGACGGACCATATCACCATCTGCCTCTTCTCACAAGTGCCTTGTATAAATGCTCAGTATGGCTGTGAGCTGTTGCTGAGCAATTTTGAACGCGGCAATCACTTAGTAGGTACTATTAGGCGGAGCCTAGGAAATTAGACAAGCAAATTAGACGCGACCAGAAAACTACAGTTATGGGAAATTAGACGTAATTGTATTGTTATCGTGTCTGATATTTGTTTACCGACTACGGATCAACCGTACAATCTCCACCGTCTAAGTGATCGACCATATAATGTTCTCCCCAAACATGTGTGAGCTTAGCATAAAGTATGAAATTTTCTTAAATCTAATTTAATTTGAAATTTTTCAATCACTTGGTATTTTAATGGGTAAAAAAAGAAGTTAAATCGACGTCGTAATTATGTTTTGATGAATAAGTTTTAAATGTAAGTGATAAAATAAATTGTGTGAAAAATTTGTTTTTTTCTTGCCTAAATCGATTTGGGGGATATTGTACGGTTGATCCTTGGTTACAAGTATTTTTCGTTCGAGCTTTCTTAAGCGCAAATCATTTTTTCACATAAGGAAATTGTATAATTTATGCATTTCGAAAATGGTTCATAATATTAATGTTTTATAAATCATTTATTACACTAGCCAACTTAAGTGAGCGTTAGTGTAATAGTACGACTAATATTTTTTCTACACTAAGTCGCAAAAAATTGGTGCCACTTTTTGTGGCACCTTTGCGGCTTCTTGATAAGCATGTGCTTTGAAATTCGAATAATAAGTTAAAACAGTTGATGCACTTTTGATTCATCAAATGAACCAAAAAAAGTTATTTGTTTCAAACAACGATCATTAAAACTCAATTTCCAAGTTTTTCTAACTCAATATATCTCGCAATTTTTTCAAATGAATAGTTTATACTCAATCTAGTTTTATGCTTTCTAATTTATTACATGCAAGGCTAATGCGGAGTCCTTCAGTTTGTTATGTTTGAAACTATTACTTGCAAAATTGTGTATTTGTATTAGTTGCCTCTGCTGCATCGCATTGGCATAGTATTAGAATATGTAGCTGCGTTCTTTGTGACTAGTGTTTGCCGACTAGTGTAAGCGTTCGTGGCTGAGAGGGCAGGGCGTGAGACTTCAATTCTCGAGGTCGCAGTTTTGAAGCCAATACGTAGCAAAGTTTTACTAAGTCGAGGCTCATTTCTATTTCTTATTTCAATTTAAAACTGCTTTTTTTTTGGTCGTGTTTCTCGCTAGTTTTTGCACAGCGGATTGTCGCCTCTGTCATGGCTTTTGCGATTACTGTAGTTTATTAGTACGAACCTTCTTTTTTCTAACCTAACTTGTAAATAAAAATGTTCATTGAAAGTGGAAAGTGTTCACTTATTTGGTGGCACTTTTGCTATAATCACGATCTAGCATTGGAAAATTCATAGCATCTGCTTTTTGCTTCATTTTTGGCTAGTATTTGTCATGCAGTAAGCCTGTGTGACTGAGTTTTTAGGCGTGAGACTCACAATCTCTTGGTCGCAGCAGATCGAATCTGAGACCTAGCCGCTTTTTTTTTAATTCGAGGCTTATTTCTTCTTTTTATATTGCACTTCATAGACCTGCTTTTTGCCATGTCCCCGATAGTGTTTGCGAAGCTTCGCCTCTTTGTAAATAATTTGATGTGCAATGGGATTATGTTCTCTTTTTGTCTCTGTGAAGTTTCGTTTAGGCCATAAGTTTTGTTATTCCTCCGCTTTTCGTCGTTCAAAACGCTAGTTTTGCAAAAGGTAACCTATAATATTCCATTTTATTTGAGCCGTCTAATTGGCATTCATTCTATGTTTTTGTTCACCCTATTAGGCGTATCTATGCGTTCAAATCAAAATCAACTCCGGTTTTTCGGTTCTCTTAGATTTCATTATAACATGCAATTGAAGACTTCTTACTGAAGTTATGCAAAATTTCTCAACCGATCAACGCGATTTAAACTGTCCTAAACTTTCTTATTTTATTGCTTATAACCTTAGAAAAAATGAAAATACTGAATTCAGATTGGGCTGACAAGTACCAAAATGGAAAATCAGTACCATTTGTATCAAAATAAAAAATCAATCGAGTTAGTACCAATAGCATTCAATTGGCCAACTACTTCTAAGCCGACTATTTTACGCTCTTGTTTTATTATCACCTTAATAATTCTGAAATTTTAAGCTATGTTTGCGCTCATCACTCTTTGTCTAATGCCTACATAGTTTGAGATAAAACCGAGTAAAATATCTGTTTGTTAAAAACAGGTCTTATTACGCTAGCGAGCAGCTAGTGTTTTAGTACGAACCTTCTGTGTTTCTGAACTAACTTGCAAATAAAAGTGTTCATTGAAAGTCAATAGCATGTGTTCTCGGCTTTACTTGTGGCTAGTATTTGTGATGGACTAAGCGTCTGTGACCGAGTGCTTAGTGCGTGAGACTCAAAATTTCTAGGTCTTAGGTTGAAGTCCCAGACGTCGCCGAGTTTTTACTAATTCGAAGCTTATTTTTACTTTTTCTTATTGCACTTCAGAATTTTTTTGACGCTTTGGAATTTTTTCACTTTTTTCAGACTTGTTTATCTCAATAACTAGCTCATTGATTTCAAAAAAAGGCCCAGTGGAAAGACAGCCTGAATATTGCCTGAGTTCTCCTCTGTGCCTTATTGCCCAGTCTTTTTTACGCCACCCTTTTTACTCATCCTTCGATAAATAGTATAGCCTTATTTGGGGGGGGGGGGGGTTGTTCAATTGTGCCGAGTTACAATAGTGCCGAAACTGAGAATGTGTTCAACGGTGACGAAAATTGAGGATATTTGAATACATTGAGTTCTGTTTGCAACGAGTTGGCAAATTGATCGAATACTTTTTTTGTTTTGGAGCAAAAACAAGACGAAAATTTGACAACTTGCTGAGTGAGTTGTTTGTTCAGAAAATTTTATGACGCCGCGCCTGGGGATCTTTTGTTTGTTTAACAAGCGGCATCAATTAAAATGGCCGCTTTTGACTTTTGAACTTCCGTCAATTTCAGTTAATTTGCTTGTCATTGATTTGGGATTGTAGGCCTTACCTATGTAAGCGGGTAATCCTTTTTTTTAGAAGAGAAACAAGTAAGGTTTCGGTTAGTGTGTAATTTTGTTAACGTTTTCTAAAAATATCTAACGGGTACCTCCAACTTTAGCTGGGCCCATGGCTTCCAATTTTTTCTTATTGTCCGAATATTTAAAGTAAGCATTGTATAAAACCGAAGTAAGAATAGAAGAGTTCGTAGATTTTTCCAGGTTTAAAATAGTGCTTATTTTGGTGGCATTTTTACTGCATAATACTGGCAGTTTAATAGCATGTGCTCTTTGCTTTTTGAGTGGCGTGTTTTTTCAAGCATCAGTACCACAGTTGTTTAGGGCTGTTGACTTTTAACGGTCGTATTAATGAACGTAGTGAGTAGTCTTACATAGGGCTTCGTGATTTTTTGTGTCTTGTCAAAGATAGTCTTAATTTTTTCATGCTCGTTTTTAATTTCTTCGCGGTTTGATTTTGATTTCTTGTAAGTTCATTTCATTTGTTAAAAGGAAGGCATTCCACTATCGAACAGCAAAAAGCTAAAGGGCTCAAAAAACGTCATTGACTTAAAATTTCGAAAATGGAATTTAATTATCAGATTTCCCAGCGAAATAAAATTTTTACTTATTGATCCAGTTTTCTTAAATTGTGTTAATTTTATCAACAAAGCATAAGTTGTTCGTGAGGTTCAAAGCGCTTCAAGGGCACATACTTTTTTCGAAAGTTTTTTTTTTCAGTTTTTTTCTGCTTCATTATGTTCATTACTCTTTTCCAACTATCAGTTGGCTATGTTCTTAGATTATCAGTCCGTGAAAAAGCCGCCAAGAAAAATCTACAAATCTGCTCTCTGAAAGTTATAATAACAATTGAAAATAAAAGAATCTAGGTTAGTTAGTGACTTCATTAAAATTGCGCTTCGAACACTAAAGAAAAGGTAATTTAACGTAAGCATTTTCACCAACCACAAACGAGCAGATTGTGTCGCAGACTTCAATTGGGTTATTAGAAATGATGTTTTGCAAAAAAATATAAATCAATCGATACTAAGATAGTGAAACAACGTAAATCAAAATACTTTTTTATATTAGGTTTTCTGTTTATCGTTAGTCTCTTTTATACTACTGTGCGTCAGCTTACTCTTTGCCAGCAGTCTTTTCCTAAAGATTTTTTGCTCCTATAATTCGTTTTTTTAACAGCTTTTTGACTTTTTTAGAAGACCTGTGTGGCATCAACAGTAGTGTGTAGAGCCACTTTCTTTCGACAAGTTCTGAGAAATTCGAACTTGGACGACGAGGGATTCATCAAGTCACTAAACAACGAGACTCTTCGTCAACCAGATGGTCAACAAGGATGTCTAGACTTATATACAGGTCAGGATCGTTTGACTTTGTTTCATTTACAACGTCTGTAGATTGTTAGACAGAAGATATATAAACACTATCTTTTTTCGTGTTTTGATTATTTATATCCTCTGGGAAAAGGCTGATGATCTACTCAGAATTTTAGTATCACCGCTTTGGATCACTTGATTAACGCCCACTCATGCTACCTTTAATGGTTTCTCTAAATTGGTCAAAAATGGTTAGAAGAATTATTTTGACAATGAAGCCATCGACGATGTGATGGCTTGAGACATTTCTTTCAAAATTGAGTTTTATAAATCTTATCCTAAATATTGTCAGGTCTCTTTGCTCATCATTTGAACTTGACGGCAAACTCCTCTAGTAACAGCAGAACATCAAAAGCATCGCAGCATGCAGAAAGTGACGACTCAAATTTAGACCGACAAGCAGAGCGGACAAACTTGACCTTAACAAATGACCAACTGAACAAAAGATGTGTGACATGTGTCAAACTGGGCATTGTGTGTATGTATGATCTGGAGCGCCAGAACCGCAAGCCCTTCTGGATCGAAGCTCGCAGTCATTTTGGCAGCAGAAGTGGCAACCAAAGCGACGATCGACTGATATCTCCCGATTTGTTCGACGGAGCTCGAGTCTATTTTGATGGGTTAGATTATTTTTAAGTGTAATAAACCTATTGAAAACTCTTATATGGATCTTGGTGATTTTTCTTGGTTTTTTTCAGGAAAAAGTCCTAAAATTTGGTCACGCTCATTTTTTTCGCGGTTAGACTTGATTTCCTTTTAAGTTCACTTCATTTCCTTTGTTAAAAAGAAGGCAAATTCCACTATCGAGCAGCAAACTTGTAAAGGTTATGAAAAACGTGATCGACTTTTCTAATTTCAAAAATAGAATTTAATTATCAGATTTCCCAGCGAAACAAAAACTTTACCTATTGATCCAGTTTTTGAAATTGGGTTAGTTTTATCACAAAGCACCAATCGTTAATTGTTCGTGTAATTCAAAGAGTTTCAGGGCATATATATTTTTTTAAATTTAGAATTTGAAAGTTGAATAAAAACAAGTCATTTTTTTTGTTTCCTTGCGTTCCAAAGACTTTTCCAACTGTCTGTTAGCTATGTCCGTATTTTAATATGCTTCTGATTTTTTTCTAGTGACTTATTGATTCTGCGAAGCTATACTAAGGAGCTTCGCAGAATCAATAAGTCACTAGAAAAAAATCAGAAGCATATTAAAATACGGACATAGCTAACAGACAGTTGGAAAAGTCTTTGGAACGCAAGGAAACAAAAAAAATGACTTGTTTTTATTCAACTTTCAAATTCTAAATGTGTATCGAAATTTTAAACAAATGATTGAATATAACTAATTTCTACAAAAGTTTTGCTTGCGATTCACTTCCATCATGCAAATCCCAATATATAATTTGTTCACCGTTAATGACATGTTTTTATTTTCTAATGCTCAAATTTTGTTTCGCCCAATTTTCATTTTTTTGGTTGTGGTCTTAGGCTCTCTCATTCGGGCTCCTGTGGTTCTCACTTCGCCTGCAACAGAACAGTGAGAAGAGACGAGTTCTCATTCCACTACATGTTTCTGCACAATCTCCTGTTCGAGTTCCAGCCGCACAGATGCCCACTCTGGAGAAAAGGTCAGTCAAGCTCAAACCATTTCTCCAATAATTGTTCAGAAATCAATTCAGCAAGAAATCATTTCAAGCAATAATTGTTCCGACTGCCAAAAGTAGGCATGAAAATTGTTGCAATGGGTTGTTTATTGCTACGCAAATTCAGTGCCACAAAAAACGTCAGATAGGTTAGAGCGATGTAGCACATTACACCCCCTTGAGTCGTGATTCGATTGATTATAAAAAATGTCCCGAATGTTTTCTCATTGATGAAAAAACTGGTTTGAGATTTTTGCTTTCAGATTTCAGATGAAGAGTCACTGTTAATATTGTGTAATTTTGAGTTTAATTTGCTTTTTTTGTTAATAAAGCCATTGATAGTTTTTCATTAGCCAGTTTTAGCTTCCACATGCTTTTGTTTTTATTACTTTTGCTTATTCATTTGTGGTCGATATGTTCGTTACTTGTTTTTTCTTCTAAATATCAATCTCAAATAGTAACCGGAAAGTTTTGTTGAATTTCCAATATACTATGAACATGAAATTTTGAGAGAAATTTGAATTTGTTTTTTTTGGATTTCTGCCTTATTCTTTTTTTTCCAAATTTTAATTGCGAGTTTTGTGTGTTTCCTTTTTTCTTGCATCTGCATTTAGTAGTAATTTGTTCTAGCCTTAGTAGCATTCTTTACGTTTGTTTTTTTTTAAGAGTCCATGAACGTATTTCAGACTCTTATATGGGTCGTGATGATTTTTTGCTCAATTTTTTTCCTGGAAAGAGTCAATGCTTTATTAACACCAGATGTGCATGTATACTAAATAATGCATTTATGAATCCACTTTGGTATATATACACTTTTTGAGTTTAATTCAAATTCATCAGCTAGAAGGTAGGCAAAATGCACTATAATTCTGAAAGCTGAAAAGGTGCGAAAAAATCCTAGTAATCCAGTTTTCTCAAATTGAGTTAATGTTATCAAAAAAACTGCCAATTTAAAATTGTTCTTGAACTTCAAAGAGCTCTAAGGCCAGATATTTTTTGTTTCTAATTTCGAAAATTGAGGTTAAACAAGTCATTTTTTTCCTCTTTCTTTGCGTTCATTGACTCTTTTCCAACTATCTGTTGGCTGTTTTCCAATGGGAAAAATCTAATAATTTGACTGTTCGGCTTTTTGTATTAAGTATTTATGAACGAAATGAGTTTTTATTTATTTAGGTCGTGTTAACATTTTTGTTTTCATGAGAAAGTGTTAGTGGTTCACGCGCAAATTTATCTCCAGGCCTTTTGATATCCTGTTTTTTCTTAATTTCGCTTTATTTTAATCGGATTGTAGGAAGACAAATTTCCAATGACAAAATTAAATGGCCGGAGAAATACGTGACTTAAAATTTTTTTATATTTCATTTTTTAGTCATTCCAACGGCTTTAGTTGTTAATAAGGTGAGCGGTGGTGAAGTGGTTACATATCCACGTTTCAAACAGTATGTCGGATGTTTGAGGTCCCCCATGATATGTGCGCGTTGGTTGAGTGTGAGACAAAATTAGCCAGCCTGGTTAAATAACCAAAAAAATTGCATGTAAATCGTAACGGGTAAATATTTCCCTTGTGGATGAATCGTCCTTATTCAGATGGGTTGGTTTTGTCAAAAACGTGTCAATCATGAATTCTTCTTCATATTCAAAAAGCAATGTATAAATATGATTTTTTAAATTCGGTAGTTGACGTTTTAAAAAACAATTCAGCCATTTTTTTCAGGTCATCTTCAGTTCAATGACACTTTTCTAACTTTCTGTTGGCTATATTTTATTTAAACTGGTGCCTATATTTGTCTGGAGTTCTAGAGTTCTGTTGAATTTTGTTTTGCATTTGTTGCAGGCTGCACATTTTCCCTGCCGCGCATGAATGAAGTCAACGGGCTAGGAGTTCACTTTTGTCCCATCTCCAGAGGACCGACCGTCAGACTAAGTACTATCAGTGGAAGCGAAGATAAAACCACGATATCTCATGGTCAAAGGTGTGAATTTGAAGAATAGCATTGAATATATCCAGGGTCACATTTCATTGAATGATGGTTGGATACAAGTATCTCTAATTTTTGCTATTAAAGTATGATTTGTTTAGCTTGGCATTACCAGATTAGTAAAATTACACTTCCAAGGATATCAAACAGGTTTTAAAGACCAATCTGGTGGTACACCTCGAAGTTGGCAGAAAAATAACTTGAGAAATAGATGGATATGTGATGGCTTTAAAATAACCGACAATTAAAGGTCAATGGATGGGTGTTTTTTTTCGGTGAAATTTTGTAATGATCGCTGTTAAGTCCCGTTTATTTTTCAAATTGATTTCTCTATCCTTTCATTAGAAAATGATTAAATTTTCTCGAAGTTTGTTATGCTGAATACTAGATAATCTTTTTTACAGGAATCAATGGTTAAAGTTGCCTCAGCATCTTTTGATGGAAGTTCTGAAGAGTCTAGATAGTTTGTCTCTTAAATACTTGTCCCAGACTTGTCGTGATTGGAGGTCAGTTCAAAAATCTTAACATCATTCAAAGCGGAAGTCCCTCCTAACTCTACATTTTCAACCAATGAAATTTCATACCATGCTATCTTTTCTCACCGATGAGAATTTGCTTCGTAAAATTTTTCATAGCTGGGGCTCTGGTACTATTCGGAAATTCTCAACATAATTTTGATGTCAATTGAAAATCTTGAAAGGCTAATTTAAATGCTATTGAAAAGTTTTTACATGATTTTGTCCTTAGATGGCGAGTGCTGGAGTTTGCAGAATCGCGCAGTCGCGGAATCGTGAACACCTATTGGCTCCCCTGCAAGACTTATGCCGACGGAGGAATGGGAAATAATAATAATAACAATGTGAAGGAGGAATCTATTTCATGGATTTTTTCATACCAATCGGTTTCGGAAAACAATTGTGGCGATCAATACTCATCACCGGTAAGTCATCGAAATGAGTTTAAAAAATTAAAGCTGATTCAAAAATTTATCAATCGATCAGCTCATTCAATGATTTTCGTTGGATTACCTTATTTGTTAGTTTGTAAGGCATTGAACGAAGTGTTTTTTTTCACACTTGGTCGTTTCATTTATTAAGGCTACTTTCAATTATCAAATTTTTGTCTTGCTCAAATAAATGCAAGTAATATTATAATGTTAATGCTGTCTGTTTTTTCTTAGGAGTTTACATTCTCTGACGAGTGTTTTCTTCCGACCACCGACAACCTCCAATATGATTTGAATTCAAATATTTTTGACTCGTATCAAATGTGCAACAGCGTTAGTTTGGTTAATGGTCAAATTAGCCGATTTTGCAATTATACCGGCCACGAAAATCTCGGGAAAATGAGTGCACATCTTCAAAGATGTGCTCACAATGAAGACCAACAAGGCTTCAAAGAGCACCATTCTTACGACATGGAAGGCAGGATACCCCTCACTGCAATGATACATGCAGCAAAATCACAAGCAGTAAATGAATAATTTTGCTTCGAATGCATAATTTATCAGCAGGAGTGCCTAATTTATAAACCTAGATTACATTTTTTAATAATTAATTTCGCAAGCTAAGAATAATGCTACAAACATAGAAAATAGAATAAATTAAAATGAATTGACGAATGAAAAAATAAAAATTTACTTGGTTTAACTTGAGAGCAAGTAGACGTTGTTTCGACGTTGCCTTGAAGTTTATTTTGTCTCAAAACCGGAGATAATATCTGAAGTGGCTGGTAATAGTAGTAGAACGCACTTTTGCCATGCCGGCGACTGTTCTTCATTTATTGGCCTTGAAAATTATCAAAACTCAGCTTTTGAAAAAAGATCAAAGATCAAGATAATAAAATTCCATTTTTGAAGCTAGAAGTCGATCACGTTTTTAGTGACCTTTTCGCTTTCGCTGTTTGACAGTGGAGTTTTGAAGATTTCATTTTCTATATCTCTCAGCTGAATAAGAAATTTATCTTTTCATCCAGTTTTCTCAATTTAATTAAGTTTTATCAAAGAGAGTCAATTTTATGTTTAGCTGGAAATTCAAAGAGGTTTAGGCCAAACTTTTTCTCTTGAAATTGGAAAGTCAAGGTTTTTCAAGTCATTTTTTCGTTCATTGACCTTTTTCCTTCCACATTTATAGGTTTTGGTGATTTTTTTTTTTTTCTGGAAAATGTTTTTAAAATGCTCTAATAAGAAGTACATATGTGCAATCATACATATTGATGCATTTATGAATGCTTTTATGCAATTATGCACTTTTTGAGAGCAATTGAAATTCATCTGCTGAAAGTGACGTAGATAGCACTCTCCAAATACGAACTTGGAAATGACGCGAAAAAACGTGAACGATTTCTAGTTTGGAAAGTGGAATTTATTTTTTAGATTTCCAGCGGAATAAAAACTTTACCTGTTGATTCAGTTTTTCAAGATACAAGTTGGGTTAATATTATCAAAAAAATACCACTCATAAATCGTTCTAGAAATTCGAAGAGCTTAAAGCGGCATCTATTCTTTTCTTTGAAATTTGAAAGTTTTCTATGGATTTTTTCAACAAAGTCAGTGTTTTTTTTGTTTACTTGCGTTCTTTACTCTTTTCCAATCTTCGATTGGCTGTGTTTTGAATTATAATTAACATACAAATTTTTAGGATTGTTTTTGCTTTGTGAATTCCAGCTTTGCCCGTGTATCCTAAATTGGGTGGCTTTCACCGAATAAAAGTCAATTGTAAATAACTTAAAATTCAAAGAGGTCTCCTGGGCGATGAAATTAGTTCTATTAAGCTCCCAAGTTTTTTAAAAAAATGAATAGATTCTTGGCTTTTTTGAGTTGATTAATGCTTTCCGATAGTTTGTTGACGACGTTTTGTTTTAAAAAGTCTTTCAAAGCATGCTTAAGATCTTTAAAATTATTCAAACTGCCGGTTTTACGCTGTGTTTTGGTGCCTTTGTAGCCCTCATAAAAAATGTTGCCAAACAGTGCTTATATTCTGTATCTCAGTTTTTTCGCCTGCGAGAAAATCGGGAACTATAATTTTTTCCCGTAAACATTTTATTTTTTCTTACAAAATTTTGCTGCTGCAGTTACTTCAAATTGCATTTTTTTGTCTTACTTTATTTAGTCTTGCTAGATTTTGACCTATATAATATCGGTTTAATGACCTTATACTGCATTATATCGTTTGACGGGCGAATTTTTTTCGGCGTAATACGTTTTGGCCTTCATATTTTTTTTTTGGAGTCAGTCTTTAACTTGATCTGAATTTTTATTCAAAAGTTGAAAAGTTTTCGAACATTTCAATTATTATTTTTTTTCGGTTTCATTGTTCTTTCACACTTTTTACACCAGTAATGCTTGTGTTATAGTACGAACTCACTTTTTTCGTGTTCATTTCGTGCAAAAATATTGTTGCGACAGAATGTGTTCATTTCGAAAGTGTTCATTTTGACCAATAACCAGCTATTAAATACAGCCAATGTTAAGGATATTAATACAGACTTTTATATTACAAATTCCTGTTTGATAAAAACAGGTATTATGAAGATACATGGGATCGGGTTTTTAAAATTATTTTTTTGAGACGTTTTGGAAAAATTTAGTTTTCTCAAAAACTGCTCTACCGAATTTCAAAAGAGTGGTACCAATGGGAACTCCGGCCACTCCTCGATCCTCTTTTTTACCTTACCCCACTTTCTACCGCCTTCGAAAAAATGTGTGAGGGGAATTTTTTACCCAAGTTTTTGGATTTATACATTTACTCATAAACTACCTACGCAAATCTGCGATTTAGGGTTCAATGGTTAGAACAGGTTGTTGACCTTTCTCGAAAACTACCCTCCCAAATGTGGGATTTCAGTTTCAATCGAACATACGGGTTGTGAGGAGCTCCCCTGCATCAGCGGTTACGCTCAAATTTTTTCAGACAAAAAGCTATGACCCTCAGAAAAATCAATTTTACGATTTTTTGACCGTTTTTTGAAAATTTTTTTGAAAGCTACCCTTCGAAATCTGAGATTTTGGAAGCTACCCTTCTGAGATTTTTTGAAAGCTACCCTTCGAAATCTGAGATTTTGGTTTGAATAGGTGGAATGGGTTATGGTAAGTTCCCCTAGATAAACGATTACGCCTTAAAATTTTTTTTACACAAAAAGTTAAGACGCTCCGAAAACTCAATTATTCGATTTTTTTTTACCATTTTGTTAAAACTTTTTGACTTATCTCGAAACGTACCCTACAAAAATCTGAGGTTTTGGTTTTAATGAGTAGAATGGGTTGTGGGAAGGTCCGTTGCATAAACGATTACGCCTAAGTTTTTTAACCAAAAGTTATGATGCTCCAAAAATTCAAATTTTCGATTCGAAACTTTTTTTTAACCGTTTTCGAAACTTTTTGACCCTCTCGAAAATTACGGATTGAAAGGAATGAGTGAAGCTCGTCTGTGTAAGCGCTAACGTTTAATTTTTCTAACTCAAAAAAATTTTGGCCTTCAGATAAGTCAATTTTTTGGTTTCGTTAATTTTAATTTTTAACTTCTCGAAAACAACTCAATCTGATAACAAAGGTTGAATCAAGGCAACTGGTTGTAAGAAGCCTCCGTATATAAACTGCTGCGCAATAAAGGTTGAACAAGAAACATGTTTCTGCGAAAATTCCAAAAGTACAAATTTTTTAACTCATTTTTTAATAGAGCAACAACCAAGGTTTTGGGTGAAGCCCAATGCTTAAATTTTTTAAGCTACCTTCTTCATCCCGCATCAGTACAACAACTCAAAAATATCAAATCGCTACCTCCAGCTTTAGCTGGGCCTCCAGTAGCACTTTAGCTTCAAGGTATCATGGATCTGTAGCGTAGAGTTAAGGAATGCGACCCGGAACAAAATAAGAGGGTTCAAAACTGGGCAGGGTCGGATGTTTTTAATGAACTTTTCGTATTCTATTTAAAATGCGTCCGCTCTATAAATTGAGGCATGGTAGTTGGAAAATTATTATTTTTTTCAAATTGACTGGTACTGCTTATGCGTTATAGGTGGCTTGCGTCACTTAGCAATTATGTAGACTCATAATTGGCGTGCATCAACTAAGAAATTTTGTAGACTCAAAAGTTTTACTCATTCTGTTTTTCCCAGTAGCGTTATGGGTCATTTTTTTGCTTGTGTATGCTAAGTGCAACTCCGACTCTGTGTTAAAATCTTTTGTTGGCTATGTTTTTGAGTTATTTGCGTTATTTGCTTTCCTTTCATTTTCTGGCTGCTGGTTTGCTGCGTTGTTTTCATGTGGTTTAGCAAATGGTTTTTCGCCTCTAAAGTTGTCACGCTCAGATTCGATTTTTCGCAGTTTGACTTTTGATTTTTTTTCCAATTTCAGTTCGTTACTTGTGTGATAGGATGAAATCTCTTTTTTTTCCAACCTAAGTCGCAATTAGAAGTGTTCATTTTGAAAGTGTTCATTTTGATCAATAACTAGCTATTAAGTACAGCCATTGCTACGGATATTAACACATACTGTTATATTACAAATAGCTCTTTAGCTTCAAGGTATCATGGATCTGTAGCGTAGAGGTAGGGAATGAGACCCGCAACAAAATTAGAGGGTTCGAACCTGGGCTGGGTCGGATGTTTTCAATAAACTCTTTCGTGCACTAGTTAAAATGCGTCCACTCTATAAATTGAGGCATGTTAGTCGGTAAATTTCTTTTTTTAACCTTGACTGGTAGTGCTAAAGCGTCAAAATTGGCTTGCGTCTCTTAGCAATAATGTAGTGATAATTGGCGTGCATCACTTGAGAAGTTTTGTAGACCCAAAGTTATACTCATTTTTTTCCCAGTAGCGTTATCGGTCTTATTTTTGCTTGTGTATGCGAAGTGCAGCTTCGCCTCTATGTTTTTTTGTTAAAAGGAAAGCAATTTCCATTGAAATGCTTTTTTAGGTTAATTGTGAATATATTCCGTAACAAAAAAGTGAGTTTTCGACTTAATTTTTCAAGAAGATTTTTAAACGTAATTCTCCAAAAAAAATTTCGACTTCGTCTATTTCTCTTCTCTGTCTTGTATTCCGATGTTTTTGTTGTATCGCTAGTGTTGCGAAGCTCCGCTTCGTCTCTGCGTAAGAACATGCTAAACGTATTTTTTGCATTGAATTGCATAATTTCCTTTTGTAATACAGTGCTGATTTAAATTAACCGGACGAAATGAGTTTAACTTGAAATTTAAAACGCGTTTTTCTCAAATTGGGTTGAGTTTAGGTGAAAACTTGTGACGACAAAATTTGTCTAAAATTTTAGCAGAATTAATATGGTGTAATTTGTTTTGCAAAACTCGGGCCCAAAATTTTACCCCAAAAATGGGTCATTTTGTCTTTTAGTTAATCAAAAATTACGCCAAAAATAACCAGTCGATCACAGACATATTTATATCAAAGCGAGCCCCTTACGTAGCCCAACAAACTTTAAAAGGGTATATTCTCCAAAACGTTGTATAAATTAATTTATTTTTGTTTGATAGACAAAAAAGGTCGCTTTTACTATTTGTAAACTTTAACTTTTCAACGGTTTGCAAGTTTTTTCTGGAGAATATACCTTTTTTAAAGTTTGTTGGGCTACGTAAGTGGCTCTTTTTGATTAAATTATGTCTGTGATCGATTTGTTATTTTTGGCGTATTTTTTGATTAACTAAGAAAAGCCAAAATGACCCATTTTTGGGGTAAAATTTTGGGCCCGAATTTTGCAAAAACAAGTTAAACCATATTAATTCTGTTAAAATTCAAGCAAGTTTTGTCGCCATAAGTTTTCACTTAAATTCAACTCAATTTGAGAAAAACGCGTTTTAATTTTCAAGTTTAACGCGTTTTGTCCGGTTAATTTAAATCAGGACTGTTCATAGCCTACTTCGACTCTACGCATATCGCTAAGGCTGAAGTTTTTCGATTCTGCGTAGAAACTACTGTTGACTACATTTTGTGTTGCGCAATTTTTGTTATTAAAATACCTGTGAAATATTCACAAAATAATTTGTTTGCTCTCGTCGTCCAAACTTTAATTTTTGCATTTTCAGATTCGTTGTATCATTCGTCAATAGTTTCCAAGGCAGAATTAAAGTGAGATACCCGGTCGTCGCTGTTTTCTCAACACACCTGTACGTGGTCCCTGTTTTTCTGGTATTGATAGTTGCAATGGATGATTTTGGATTTGGCAGTGCTAACAATGGGGAGCCAGACGAAGTGCAGGACTTCCTAGCTAGAGAGCAGCAGCAGTTTGCCGAGCTACATGGAGGAACTGAAGAGCAGTCAGTCGTTAACAGCGACTTCGGAGCCTCAAATGTCAACGAGGTAAATTGTTGATGATTAAAAGAGTTCTATCGGGAAAGAACTAAAAGTTCTAAAAGAACTAAAGGGAAAGGTGGCCACTGTCTAATTTATAGAATAGCTAGTCATATTTTCGTTACCTCCAGTAAAATGAGGTGAAATGAAGCGTTTGTAATTTTTCGCAAAAATGTTTTGGCAGAACTTTTCTAAAATCTTCATTCATATGTTTTAGCGATTTAATATTGGATTTTTCCTGCAAATGGAGGTTGACTTTTAGTTTCACTAAGGGATTTAATGGAATTTCTAATAGAGAAATAGAAATTGAGTTTGGTTTATCACAAAAGCATAAAATATAATGAAATAAATAATAATTCTTGAAATTTAATTTATCTCTTTTTTGAACTATTTAACGTTTTCGCAGTTTGTTGGCTCGGTTCTTGAGTTTTAAGGCACGAAATGAATTTTAGTTGTGTTTTTTGTTCTTAACGTCCTCCTGCAATTCTCGAAGAATGGGAAGTTACAATGCAGTAAGCTAGCTTTTCTTTCCGTGGGGAACCCCACGAAATCTTATAGGTGGTCAACTGTGTTGTCATATCAAAAACGTTTTAGTTGTTTCAACTTTTCAACTATCAGTTGAAAGGTTTCATTGACACATATCCAAATAACTGTTGGCTGTTAATCGTTAAAAAGGGAAATTGAATTTTAGTTTTCTAAGTTGAGTTTTATTTTAAGTTTTCCTAGTAGAATAATATGAATAACCTTTTGATCTAGTTCTAAAATCGAGTTCATCTCATCAAAGAATTGAGTTTGTTGAGTTTTTAGTTGCAATTAGTTGCAATTAGTTTAACCGAAGTTAGACTTTTTATCTGCGAATGACTACAAGGAAAGCATGGTTACGTAACGTTGTTAAGTATATTCTGAATTTTTAAGAGTCTATGAACGTAGTTGAGACTCTTATATAGGTCGCGATTATTTATTTTTTAGTTTTTTTTTTCAGGAAAAGTCTTTGAAGTTTGTTCATGCTCAAAAATGATTTTCGCGGTTTGACTTTTGATTTCTTCATTCATTTCCTTTGTTTAAAAGAAAGAGGGTAAATTCCACTATCGAACAGCGAAAGTGTAAAGGTCACGAAAAACGTGATCGACTTCTAGTTTCGAAAGTTGAATTTAATTATCGAATTTCCCTGCGAAATATAAGTTTTACCTAATAATCCAGTTTTATCAAATAGAGTTAATTAAATCAAAATTTGTCAATAATCAAGACAATAGCAATCATAAATTGTTTTAGAAATTCAAAGAGCTTTAAGGCCCTCTTTTTTTCTTTGAAGTTCGAAAGTTGATTTTGATTGTTCATATCATGCAATTGAATTGTTGGGCGGCTTATCAAGTTTCATAATACTACAAATAAGGCTTCTTTTTTCGTTTAATCCGCCGTATTGTTTTTTTTCCAGTTCGATCAGTTCGGCGAGAACCATTTTGGAACGGAGAGTGGAAACTCCTCATTTGTCGGAGGTTTCGATTCGACCACAGCAGAACCTTCCGATCCCTATGCGGCAGTGACAGCAGTAGATGTGCAGAGGGCAGAGCCGGAGAGTATCAGGAAGTGGCGCGAAGAGCAGACTGCGCGACTGGCCGAAATGGACGCCACAGAGCAGACACAGATAGCCGAGTGGAAGGAACAGGCCATGCACGAAGTAGAAGAGTGGTACAAACAGCACAACGAGCAGGTACCATGAGAATAATTTATTGCCACTTATTGTTTCTAACGTAGTGTAGTTTCTAACGGCAAAGCTGTAGTTTATCTTGCATCTGCAGATGACTGCTCATAGATCAGGTCAAGAATAAGTTGCCTGATTTGAAACGGTGAGCAGAGAAATGTTGGTAACAGAATTGACTAACGTAACTACGTTTTTAATTACAAAACAAAAGTTTCACCGCGAAAAAAAATCAATATATTTGTCAAAAATGAATGAACTGAATTGGTTTCTAATTTATGATGTTCTGAAAGCATGGGCTCAGCGGAGATTTTGTTCCGAAGTTTTTGGACTAGTGCAACAAAATGCCAAAGCCATATTTTTGGATTATTTCTGTTGAAAACAGGCGTGAATTTATTGCTTATTCGTTTCAGGTCGAAAGAGGATGGGCTAATAATAGAGTATGTTATCTTTTTATGCTGTCTTTTCTGTTCAGTCCTTTGTTCAAATTTAATTTATGTTGAAAAGAATGAAATTCAGTCATTGAATCTCGCAGCGTTCAAAGAATAATCGTTTTCTTGCTAAATTTTCATATTTGAGCGGGAAGGGTGTTAATAGTTTTTCCTATTTTCTTATTTCTTAACCTGTACTCTGCTATTTAAAAATAAAGTAGGGCCTAATACTCCGTTGGTATACCTGAATAAAACCAATCTGTAGACCAGTAGAGGTCGAATAGAAGCTGTTACAGGCGAAGGATTTGTAGGTTTTTTCGAGATTTGACATGCTGTTTTGTTGCTTTGCTTCGTTTTGCAATGCTTCCGTTTGCCGAATTCAATAGAAAATAAATTAGAGCGTGTTTTAGATTGCGAAGAATAAGAACAACAATCGAGTCGCAGAGGAGGAGATGCTAAAAGGGAGAGACAATAGCAACTCGGATGATGGCGCATCCTGGGCTAGAATATCGGACATGTGTGATTTCAACCACAAGAATCACAAGGCCACCAAAGACGTCTCAAGAATGCGGGCTCTCCTCATTAACCTCAAAAAGCACCCGCCTGCCAATGCACCCGCAATCGCAAACGGAGCTTCATGAGGAACCTCACAAGACCCATAGAACCCACCTCCCCACAGTTCGAACCAATCCTTTCTCCCTTTGAAGAAGCAGAGATCAGTTCCGAAGGCAAGAGTATCTTCAGGACTATACACCTCGAATACCTCTGGATACAATAGAACCATCATACACAGGATTCGCGATGCCATCAAACTTGAACTTAATCGAATAGATTTTGATGCGTGTGACATTCTGATATGCTTTCCTAGCGGTGCAATCTTGTAATGGAAACCGTTCATTGATGTATCTAATTTTTGACTTGATGATTATAAAACTCCCCGTCCCGTTTATGAATTTCATTCCAATTTCTACGATTAATAATTTAATAGGAAATGCATCTACAGTAAAAAGAAACTATCTGTTGAAACCTTATATTTTAATGGACGACTCAGATACTTGTGTTTTGTTCGGAGAAAGCACCCTGATTACGGTTTCAATCTAGTTTCAATTTCAGCAGCAATATAAAATCCTGAACCGTAGCATCTAAAAATAAATTTAAATGCAACACCATAATTAATTGTTAATATTATGTGTAGTTTCATTTTGAGTCATTTCAAAAAGTTGTTTTCAATTTATTGTATCCTATTATACAATAGAATCTTGACTGGTCTTAAATTTGACTGATTTATAATTTTTTAAATAGCTGATTTCTAGTCAAGATTCATCCTTGCTTATTTTAGTCTGTGTATTTAATGAATTGTATATTAATTAATTACAATCCGTATGAATGTGATCTAGTACTAACGAACGGAGGTTGAGTTTGTAGTTCCATGTATAAAGTTAATTATTCTACAGATTCTTCATTTTTATTTTAATCGAGAAAGGAGTAACTGTCTTCTGAAGGGTATTCACACATTTCGCCCCTCACACGTTTCGACCCTCTAAAGTCTAGTGGCACTTTTCGCCCCTCACACATTTCGCCCCTCACTTATTTCGCTCCTAAAATGTACATTAAGCAAGCGGCGTTAATTAACTGTGTAATAAGTTAGGGGCGAAACGTGCGAGGATGAAATGTGTGAAATTATAAGAGGCGAAATGTGTGAGGGGCGAAATGTGCCACTAGATTTAAGAAGGGCGAAATGTGTGCGAGGCGAAACGTGAGACCTTCCTTCTGAAGGCGTTAAAAAAGTTGTCAACTATAAGTAATGTTGCTAATTATGGAAAAATTGCCTACTGTGAGTGATCTGGCCATTTAAAATATGCCATGAAATCCGAGTAAGGAAGAAGCCTGTTTTTTTTGGGTCTTTTCTACTTTTTAATCAACCTTTCAGCTCAATTAAACTACTTAAACTACTTATTTTTGACTTAGGTCTCTTGACAGAATTATCAGTCGCGCAGATAGCGGAGGATAATGTCCATTGCCTGACGAATAAAACTCTATAGTTTGAAATTGTCTCTGAAAGAATGGCCGGTTGCTGTGCAAGTAACACAGAATTTGCGACCACACAGATTTAAGAATGAAGAAAATTTTTTCAAAGTCAAGTAAAAAGTTTGAATTTTTTCCCGTTTTTTTAAAATTATTTTGTCCATAAATGTTTCTAATTTTTTTCTGTAAGTAATAATATCTTAATTCACTTGCGGTTAGCAAGCGCTATCAAATCGGACTATAGGCTTTTTTGGGTTAACAACTTATTCAACAGAAATATTTAAATCATTTGGTATCTGGGTTCACAAAAAATTCAAATTTCCAAGCGTCTCCGGCACACTTATTCTGGATGTAACAAATACACCTAGGACGGCAAAGGTCCTGTGATGGAATCTGACCAGGAATTGTTTTTGTTTTAAACGCGAATCATTTCATTCCTAATAAAATGTCAGTTTAATTTATATTTTGTCGGCTGAGTTCCCACAGCCCAACTAAACTAAAGCGATTTATTTTGACTTAGGTCTCTTGACAGAATTATCAGTCGCGCAGATAAAGGGGAGGATAATGTCCATTGTCTGACGAATAAAAATCCACAGTTTGAAATTGTCTCGGAAAGAATGGCCGGTTGCTGTGTAAATAACACAGAATTTTGCGACCACACAGATTTAGGAATGAAGAAAACTTCCGCAAAGTCGAGAAACAAACTGTGAATTTTTTCCCGTTTATTGAAATCAATTTTGTTTCTAATTTTTTTTTCTGAAACTAATAATAACTAATTACGCTTGCGATTAGCAAGAGGTATCAAATCGGAATTTGGGTTAACAAATTGCCTAAGAGAATTATTTAAATCACTCGTCATCTGGGCTCACAATGAGTTCAAATTTCCAAGCGTCTCAGGCACACTTAGTCTGGATGAAACAAATACTTCTGGGACGGCGAAGGTAATTGGATCGATTCTGACCAGTACCTGTTTTTTTTTTCAAACGGGAAATGTTTCGTTTCAAAGAAACTGTCGACTTATTATTTGTTTGCTTATGTTTTTTTTGGCTTAGTTGCCACTTCTTAGATTTTTTGCTGTATGCATTTTTCTTTGTAATTTTTTTAAATGTTTTCAATTACTCCTGAAATTGGTAATTATTCTAACCTTGACCTCATATTTTTTCTCTTCGTTTTTTTTTCGCATAAAAATTTTTGCGGCATAAGTGGTATCGGCTTACTATTTATGGGCTTAGTGAACTAATTTTTTATTTTTCCAGAGAAGTATATTTTTCCTCTTGATCACACAAATTGTTAAAATAGTAACAATAGAATTTCATGACAGCAATTTTATTTTCGCTTGATGATTGTTTTTGAATTTTCATTAAACGCCGACAAATGTGTTATTGAACATGTTTCCGCAAATAGAATATCATTCTAGGCACTGTTTGAAATTTGTGTTCCGATTATTGAAAACTGGGAGAAAAATGTTTTCGGGTGTTTCATTTTTTTTTCTTGTTTTTTTTCTTTTTTTTCCAAGAAAAATCAGGTACCACAAATAATCATCGGACTGGGTTGAGTGATTTATCAAAAAAAAAGCCCTTACATTTGTGATTTGAACATTTGTGATTCAAAACGAATGTTCCTGGTGTCAAGCAAAAGCTGTCTGAAATTTTTGATTTTTCATCCTATTTCGAGCGATTAAAGCGAGTGAGCAGTCTTATTTCAATTGCTTAAAAGACTACAATGTTTTTAATTTAAAACGTAAGAGTTTAATTTTATTTGAGTATCGTCTGTTCACTTTGAGTATTTTACTGCATTTTTGGAATCAAACTTTTCAAAAAACCGCAAAACCTGAAAAAAATTGATAGTTTTTCTACAAAAATAGTTTTCAATTTGCTTATTTTGCTATGACTGTCGAATATCGAATATACCTAGTGGCCCGTTTTTTTTGTTCAGCTCTTTTATCACACCCCGCTTAAAAAAACGACAGTAAGTTGAAAAATTTTTGTTGTGATTTTTATGACTATGGTCAGAACATTCTGTGCTATTTGCACAGTAACCAGTTATCCTTGTTTAGTTGAGGTTTTTCGATCAATTTTTGTTTTCTTTGAACTGAGTAAATCTCCTTTCTTTTCCTGCCTGCTAGCTTGTAATTCTCTTCTTGTAGTATCGCAAGTGATGCAAAGGTCCGCTTTGCGTCTGTGTAAAATATTAAAAAAGTAAGTATAGTTGAATTTGGAGGCCATCTTTTACTCAAATTTTGTCTAATTATGTCTGAAAACCGCAACTATTGAGATTTAGTTTTCTGAACTCTGAGGCACCGTTCTTGATTTTTTTGGAATACAAATCAAGACTGAAAATACCCTAATGTGATGTCACAATTGATGACCTACGAACTTTCATTGAGGCAGTTAATTAAAATTGGGAAGAAATAAACAGACTCACGTGGCATAGTTGTTCGTTCCCACCTCTAGCCTAGAAAAATTAATCACTTCTTTAGGGCGTCGAGATGCTAAAATGTGTACATAATCCAACTCACTGGTCGACGGTGGAGCTACTGCAGCATACTGCACGAAAACTAAATATTTTTGAAAACCTTTGTCGAGTTTTAATTCGCTTAAGTGCTGAATCTCATAGAACTTTTGTTGCTGGTCTTTTTGGATGCTACTGTCTGCCTATGGTATGTTTTCCAGTGCATTGTTGTTATCGTTGGGTTCTTTGAGCGAGTTGGAGAAAGTTTCAGTTGTCAATGTATATTCTTGCTAGTTGTCTTTTACTAACACTTTTTTCAACTCAATCAATTTGATAATTAAATGCGGATTCCTAGAAAAAAAAACATATGTGTGCATAATCCATATGAAAATTTTCAATGAAACAAACCCCTCAATGATGATTCAAAATAATTTGGTTAAAAATTTGCTATCTTATGAAGAAGAATATTTTACATCCAACTTTAAGCACTATATTAGCTTTCAAGCTAACTTATATACATTTCTAATGCAATGAACTATATATAAAAAAGCGCCAGTCTCAAAAGCAAAGGGTTTTGTTTTATGTCATTTCAGACTGCAAACTCAAAAATTTGTATAATTAATCTCAACCCTGCTCACAAATTTTCGAGTTCGCCGTTCTGTGACCTCAGTTTTTGTTTTCATAGTATCACTTCACGGATTCTTCATTGGATTTACTGAGGAGAACTCCATTGGTGCATGATGAACAAAGTCTGCTTCTTCTT